ACTCTATCCTGCCCTCCACATATTTCTTTCCTTCCCGTTGCTCCTACCTCCCCTGTCCCATACTCCTAGAGAACTCCGCCTTCTACCCCTTACCCTCCCTCCACCCTCCCCTCCACTCCCTTTGTACTACTAACAAATACATACGAATGAGCATCATTAAGAGTATAGACGATATGTAGATCAGAAATGAAATGAACGGAAGTATGAAGATGGACGGACGGACACAAAGACCGTATAAGCTGAAGATCTGAAGTGAAATGAACAGGAGTATGAAGCTCTGAAGAGATGCACAGGAGCATGCCTTCCCTCTTACTCTGCCTCCTGAAATAACGTGCAAGTGGGCCGTGAAGGCACACGGGGATGTGGGCAGCTGCCGCTCAACCACAATCAACGTGGGCAGCCTTGTGCGTAAGAGACACAGTAAAAGGGGAGCTGCAAGAACAATGAAAGGGGTACCCCAAGGACAACCAAAAAACTGTGTAATTATAAAATTGCTTTAATATGTTGGACATCTCAGATGCTCTCGTTGTCTGCAATAGGACAAAGACTGCTTTGATTCTGAATCTATTCACCTGGGTGGGATTGGGGCTGCTGTGGGGAAAATCTAAAACACACACACACACACACACACACACACACACACACACACACACACACACACACACACACACACACACGCGCACGCACACACACACACACACACACACACACACACACACACACACACACACCTCTCGTGAAGGGTTTGGGGTCCATTGCCTGGCCATCCTGCATCCTCAGGGCTTCAACACTGTCCTTCCACAAGGATGTTTACCGCCTTTCAGACGACTTCATCGTTCGAGCAGGTGGATTCGTTCGCAACGCGGTCCAAACCGTCCTTCCTCCAGTCGCCCCTCAACACCAACACACGGCGACAGGCCTTCCATTATTGACACTAACCCTGGTCCGTTTCATGTTGTGCACTCGGCCTTGCATGATTGCATCGCATGCTGGCACAAGAAGCCAATTCAGAATGGCAATCCATATCTCATACCCTTTCCCAAGCCACCCCTGCTTGGCGTGCTAGCCTGTTGCAATAGCAAAAATGCAATCTCTTTTTTAGTTTATAGAATTAGCCCTTTTAACTCAGTGGTAGAGTAACGCCATGGTAAGGCGTAAGTCGTCGAACTCCGATCTCACACCGGACATTCGACAATTGGAATGCATGTTGCGTGGTTTGCTTTATTCACGCCGACCGTATTCCAGCCCTATGCATGATCAGACTCCGTTCTCAAATTTCATTAAGATTGTGCACATGCATCAAGTTGCTGGAACTAAACGACTACGGGGCGTTCTTCGGTTACCAGAGGTCGCAGAATTACATCCGTGGCGTGCTCTGGCCAAAAAAACATGTATCTGCGAAAAGATGGTCCTGCCCATTCGTGTCCAGTTCCGCAATTTTACAGAAGTGATACTAAGCATAACATCCAATATGCCGCCTCCAAACCCTAATGATTTTCGTTGTCGACGAACGTTTCCGTGCTGTACAGACACTGTTGACGGTCATGTAGCCACAGTGAACTGCTCTATTCTACAAGACACATCTGCGGGCCCGGCTCCAAGTACCGCCTCAATGCCGACACCGCAGGTGTGATAAAAGCACGGAAACCTGGGCTGTACGAGTATAGCAACCATGAGATCGGCATGTAACAATGACCCAATGATTGCCGATAATCTTGCTCAGCTGCACAGATGGCGCACAGCAATCATTTCAAGATGCCAACGGGATCTGTCTAGAGCCTCGTACCAGGTACCTACCCAGGCTGCCTCACGAATCACCAATACATCTTTGAAGCAGCTACAGCAGCACTTCACCATTGTACCTGTTGATAAAACATCACACAATATGGCAATTTGGTGCAAACGATGGTACGCATACAAGTTATCACAGCATCTTGACAGTTCCACCTATGATCAAGCATCGGAGTCTGTGGCCAGCATCCTCGATCGGCATGCGCTTTTCAATGACCACTGGGGCTATCGACATACTGATACCCTACCTCACCTCTATTTTGCACTCTAAGCACAGAAATTCCCACCGGCTCTTCGTCCAATTCTTGGAGTTACACAACGAAACATTCTTTCTGGCCCTCTGTCTCAAACCTGCATAACAGGCCCCCTCACGAGCCCCTTGCAAGTACAACAATGGCCTCTCGCTCACTTAGCTATGCCCTTCAAGGTGTGATCAAACCTTTGCGCAGCAAGGCCAATGAGCTTTACCGAGAAAGTGGTGTGCGACGTTGCTGGATCGTACAAAGTGCCGAGGAAGTCATTTTGGATCTCAAGAAGAATGCACAGTCCCTTCGAGGTTCGACGCCACACACAGCGGAATTTACAACAATGTACACGAACCTGCCGCACAAATGGCTACTTAATAATGTCCTAAATGCTGTTTGTGAAGCACATGACTATGCTTTGATGCTGATCCTACAGGGCAGAAGGCCAAGAGAAATGTACATGACTGTAGGAGGGCCTCGTCACGGGGAATGGGTTACTTCACATAGCACAGACACTCTTTCAGTACAACAAATTGAACAGCATCTGCGGTTTGTAGTCTCAAATACTTATCTGTATACAATGGATGCCACTCTCCATCATCAAGTGGTCGGTATCCCTATGGGAACTAATGCTGGTCCCTTAATTGCCAACCTGACGCTCTATTGGGATGAAGCACAGTTCGTCGATGAACTTTGTCAGCAAGACCTGCGTGCGGCGCAAGCATATGCATTCACATATCGGTTCATCGATGGCATTCTATCCTGGCAGACATCCCCACACCCTTCTAATCGATACGGGCTTGAGTGGAAAGACACTACTGGGCAACGTGGCTCATGCCTTTTCCTTGGGGCAAGAATCCAAGTGCAGTCAGATGGCTCGCTTCACATAGGTGTATTTGATAGGGTCGAGGCTTGGGCATTCCCTGTCATACGTTGTCCCAGTGCATCCTCCAATGCCCCAGCTCATCAGCCTGCAGGGGTACTTACAGGACAACTAACGAGATTCGAACATATTTGTAATAATACTACGGACTTCAAAGCAGCAGTGACTTCCTTGACGCGACGTATGCTTTTAGGGGCTCATCCTCCTAGTGTCCTGGCCAAAGGCTGGACGACATATGTGCATGGTCGGCAGCGCCAGCTACCCACTCATGTCACACGGCTCTTGAACTGGTTTCGTCGTATGGTGCGCTGGGCCATTTCTCAGCCACCGCCGAATGCACACTCGGCATACAGAGCCTCCTCCCTACCACATGCAGCAGACCATCACCCACTCCCGAACACCAATTATGGCTGCAGGCGACATCAGACCTCCACACAGCACGACACAGCGGGTCTACCCCCTCCTGTTAATCCTGCTGAACTGGCGAACGCCAATGTGGATATGCCAGCTTAGCCAGAGAATGGTCCAACAGAGACAAGTAATGTATACGTTGTTGAGGTTGCTGTAGGCAATGAGGGCCAGCATCCTACCAATGCGGCTATTGCTGCCGAAATGGTGCCTCCCTCATCACTGTCACCATCACCACCACCACCATCACCACCTCCTCCTCCACCACCATCACCACTACCACCTCCTCCCTCACCACCGCCACCAGCACCAGTATCCCCACCACCATCGTCACCGCCGTCCCCTCCAGAATCATCATCATCCCCATCATCATCGCCACCACCCTCCTCGCCGACATCTTCTTCTACATCATTCCCCCAGTCATTTAACCCCTCCTTGACTGCTGCTTCTTCCTCCCCTTCTTCTGCTTCTTCTTCTTCTTCCTCCTCTTCCTTCTCTTCCTCTTCTCTACCCTCTTCGTCAACAATTAGTTAGAACTTCTCTCCATCAATAGAGATTGGTGGAAGATGGGTGGGAGTAGGATTTGAACCTACAACATTCAGA